TTTGTACCCCTCCTGCTCAGGCCCTCCTGGCAGCCAAATCCTGCCTGTACCTCTGGCTGGCAGCTGCCTGGCACGGCTTCGCGATGCCTCTGCCGGGCTCGGGAAGGCCCTTTCACTGGGGAAAGCGCAGCCCCCGGGCAGGGGACCTGTCCACGCTGGCCTCACCGCCTTGCGCTCTGTCCCGCAGGGCTGGAGCAGCGCGTACTCCATCGAGTCGGTGATTATGCAGATCAGCGCAACTCTGGTGAAGGGGAAAGCGCGAGTACAATTTGGAGCCAATAAGGTAGGGCCCGGTCAGCGTAAGGGAACCTGAGGAGCGGCTGGGAACGGGATGGCGGCAGCTGGGCGGACACCTGGCAGTTTGTGTAGGGGAGGGGTGTGGGATATTCGTGCCGGGTTCTAGCCGGACTGACGGTCGCCCTGGCTTCCCTTGCAGAATCAGTACAGCCTGACAAGAGCACAGCAGTCCTACAAGTCCCTGGTTCAGATCCATGAGAAGAACGGTAAGGGCTGAGGGAGAGGGCCTGCCTTTCCCCTTGCTAGTCCGGGCTCCCCTAGGCTGAGCGTCCAGATGAGCTGCTCGAGTTTTTTCTGCCCTAAGCGCAGAGATTACCTGGAGCAAGATGACAGCCGGCGACGGCAGCCGCTGTCTTAACACAGAGCGCGTGGCTGCAGCATCCCTCTGCCCTTCCCCGCTGGCCTCGCTGCTCGGCGCCGGGCTCCTTTGGCTAGAACTAAAACCAGCGTGTCGTTATCTGGGTGGTGTCGGGAAGTAACCTGGGAAGAAAGCCTCGCGGTAACCTGGGAGACGCGGCCTTTTGGAAGCGGGATTTGATGTCTTTGCGCTGCTGCTTTCAGCAGCTTGTCCAGCGGTGCGTTTCCGGGCATAGATTTGTGTTCTCTGGGCAGCTTCGTCCCTCACGGATCTCTCCTCGTTTCAGGCTGGTACACACCGCCCAAGGAGGATGGCTAGCACGGATGCTGCAGGACCAATCTGATTATCTTCTGGATGCTCTCCTTGGATCTTAACAATGCCTCTTGGCTTTTTCCCAGGATGTAATAGCTCTGCCTGTTGCAGGACAATAATGGCTGTTAAAAACTCTAAATAAAACTGTTTAAGCAGTTGGACTGACCTAAAACACTTGCTGGACCCTTGTTAGCAGGCATTCTTGTTAAAACAAACTTTTGAGCCTCTTGTATCGCTGGAAACTTTCAACTCTACTCCAGTCTAGAGCGTCCTCCTTACCTATGCTATGGATTTAATTTATTTTCTTATTTCATGTACACTGCTTTTTTTTGTTACAGTGTATGATGGATGTGTATGGAAAATGTATCTTTGGAGAAAAATTACAGTTTGTTAATTTGAAGATGCTGGTCTGACTAATTTTTTTTTTTTTTCCAAGCTGCTCCTGGGTGGATGGTACCCTGCGCTGGCAGGGAGCAAACCCTTTTGCAGCGGCTGTGCCACGCTGCATCTTCAGCCCTGGTCACGGGGTGCTGGCTGGAGCCGAGGGACAGTGCCAGAGGTGGGGCGCAGGAAAACCCGGGGGCTCTTGGCGTTGACTGCGAAGCTCATGGACAAGCCATGCGGGAAGGTCCGGAACAGCCACGGTGGAAGAAGAAAAACTTTTTTCTTTTTTTTTTTTTTTTTTTTTGACAACAAGGGAAAACATGGCTCTTGCCCCTTTCTCTCCCAGCCCAAGAACAGACTTTTCTCTTTATAAACTGCACATTTACACCCTGGAAGCGGAGAAGGGAAGATCTGTACACCAGATACCGTGGAGGAGCTGTTTGTATGCGCAGCCCAGGGCTGCCAGCTCTCACCCCAAACTTCTCCGTGTCCTGTCTTGCCAAGGGGCAGGAGATGAGCGGTGGTTCGGCCGTGCCAAACCCAGAGCTGTAGCCCCTTTGCCCTGTCTCTTCCCCACCAACCAGGGGGAGGGTGACCGAGCCCCTCGTACCTGCGGATGAAACCGGTGGGCAGTGCTGGGTGCGAATCCTGCTCTCATCCCTGCTGAGAACTTGCTCCTGCAGCGAGCGGCCCCGTTCTGTGGGGTTTTATTTTACTTTTCCTCCTCAAGCCATTGTTCCTGCTCTGCTCAGTGCTGCAGGGAAGGGTTTGCTGCAGTCGTGCCCTGTTGCTTCAGCCCCTGCTCTCTCCTGAGGCTGCTGGAAGGAGATTTGGGTGTTGGAACTCATCTAACTTCTGCTGTTGTGTCCTCGGCTGGAGGGCATAGCTGGCTCATTAGTGTGTCAAAGCCGAACCATCAGTATTAATTCGCTGTGTTTGAATAAAAGTTGTTAGAAAAATCAAAGGGCCTCAGAAGAAGTCCATTATCTCCTCCAGCAGATGTTCTCCTTGTTAGGCCTTGGGGGAAAAAAATAAAAGCTGCTGTAGGAGAGGGATTACTGATGGCTGCTCTGGCCACGGCCGGGGGGACTTAATTTTAAATTTTTAAATGCTTTGCTGAAGGACAGGGAGGTTTGCGACCCCTAGCAGCTCTGCCCTGGCCCAGCAGCCAGCGGGGTCCTGTGCCCTCCCCAGCCCCGTGCATCTTTAACTCAATCAGCACCGAGGAACCCGCCAGGAAGGGGGGGTTGAGGTAGGTCAGTGAAGGTTTGTAAAGCTGGTGGTGGTGCTGTTTGGCGAGGTGGGAGCTGCGCCTTGCCCACCCCAGCGACAGAGTTGGGTTGGGGTACGCCGAGTTGATTAGGAGAACGCTCTTGCTCCTGAATCCCAGCGGCTTTCCGGGCCGGGATGAGCGGGAGAGTTAACCAGGACCCTGCGGGACCCTCCGCTGCTCGCCCCGTGAGCGTTGAGGCTGGAAGCGTGGTAGGAACAGCGCGAGTCTGGCAGGTGTCTGCCTGTCCCGTCTGTTTTCACCCACCCCAGCGTCACCCACCCCAGCGTCAGGGTCCGTCCCGCTCCCAGACGCGCTCACCGCTCGTCACCGTCGCGCTGGCTCGGCTCTTGGTTGGGCTCGTCAGGGGAGCTGGCGCGTGGTGCCATCTGTGCTGCCGGAGACGCTCCTGCAGCCTTCCTCTGCGGAGGATGGGGATGGGGGGAGACTTCCCAAAAGAGATGTGTGGATGGTGCGGAACCGCCGCCGCGGCCCCGAGCCACCGAGATGGCGCTGCCTGCGCGTCTGTCCTCCTGTTTTCAGGCCCCTGGCAAGATTAAGGGGAGATTTAAATCTGCGACCGAACCAGCACCTTTCACACTAAGCTAACACCCAAGCTTACCGGCGGTGGCACGGAGCTTTCCTTGGCCTCCAGAAGGCAAAGCCGAAGCCGGCCAAGATCCCACGGCCTGTTTGGGCGCCAGCCTAGCA